ATCTATCGACATTAGTCCTAAAAAACGGATACTGGCAAGTGCCACTCACACCGGAAAGCAAACCAATAACAGCGTTTACGGTCCCTGGAATGGGACTTTTTCAGTTTAAAGTAATGCCGTTCGGATTGCATTCAGCCCCTGCAACGTTCCAGCGATTATTAGACACCGTGATAGGACCTGATTTGGAACCTCATGTCTTCGTCTATTTGGATGACATCATCGTCATCAGCGAAACTTTTAGTGAACACCTCAAGTTGCTCTTCGAGACTTTCCGCCGAGAGGCGCGCCTTAGACTGAACCGAGACAAGTGCAAATTTTGCGTAGATCAGTTACGGTATCTGGCGTATATAATCGATCATGAAGGGATAAAAACCGATCCACAGAAAGTTAGCGCCGTAGCTAACTTGCCAGAACCGCGAACGGTAAAACAAGTACGTCAATTCATCGGGATGGCTTCCTGATATAGGCGTTTTATCGCGAATTTCTCCACGATCACAGCCCCGCTCACGAAACTTACTAAGAAAAACGCGCGATGGATTTGGGGCCTGGGGCAAAGCGGGGCATTTCTGACGATCAAGAGAAAATTAACGTCCGCACCTGTCTTGGCATGCCCAGATTTTACGCGGCGGTTTTATCTGCAAACCGATGCAAGTATGACAGGTTTAGGCGCGGTGCTAACCCAGCAATACGATGACAGCGAGCGCGTCGTCGTAGCCTATGCGAGTCGCACGTTAAATACAGCAGAAAGAAATTATAGTGCAACGGAGCTCGAATGCCTTGCAGTCGTGTGGGGGATCCGGCGAATGAAAAATTACCTAGAGAGGTACGCGTTCACTAATCACTGACCACCAGGCCCTCAAGTGGCTGCAAAAACTAGAATCACCTACGGGACGACTGGGGCGTTGGGTATTCGAGCTCCAGCAGTACGATTTTAACGTCAAGTACCGCCGGGGAGTACTAAACAAAGTGGCGGACGCCCTCTCACGCCGCCCGGAAGTCCGCGCCCTGAAGAAGCTAAATCGCTGCCGGTGGTACGATCGCTTGCGAGAAGAAACACAACAAGAACCAGCAAAAAGACCGGAGTACCGAATCAAGGAGAGGCGACTCTACCGGCATATAATACATTCCCTGGACTTTAAGGAGAGGAGCAGTGAGGAGCAGTGGAAGCTGTGTGTTCTCACACCATTACGGGAGAGGGTGATGTCGACGTTTCACAACGAGCCGGACATCTCGGGTTAGCGAAAACAATCACACGAATCGCGGAGGAATATTATTGGCCGGGCATGTTCAGAGACATCGCCAGACACGTCCGGAACTGCGGGACATGCCAGAGTTACAAGGCGACACAACAAAGGCCGGGGGGGAAACTTCATGCAACCGAGATAAAAAGGCCCTGGGAACAAGTCAGCATTGATCTGGTCGGGCCACTGCCGCGATCGAAAAAAGGACACACATGGTTAATGGTTATGCAGGACAGGTTCTCGAAGTGACTGGAACTTGTACCCCTATGAAGGGCATCCGCAGACGCAGTAACACAGGCTGTAACCAACAACATCCTGTTGAAACATGGAAGACCGGAAATCATTCTATTAGACAACGGGACCCAGCTACGATCTAACCAACAAGAAGACAGGTTGAGGGAATGCAACATCAGGCATGTCAACACCTGCATATGCTCCCCATTGCAACCCGGTGGAAAGAACAAATCGAATGATAAAAACAATGGTGGCGCAGTTCGCGGGGAAAGACCAGAAGACGTGGGACGAGAAATTACCGGTGCCGCAATTTGTGTATAACACAGCGACCCACGACGCCACCGACTACACACCAGCTTATGTAAATTTCGGCCGCGAACTTGTCTCGCCAGCAGCCGAAAATCAACCAGATCAGATAGCACCAGCTCCAGAAATAATAAGACGCCAACTAGAGGAAGCATATGAATTAGTGAAAGTCCATCTCGCCAGAGCTTTCGAGAGACAAAAACACCACTATGATCTCCGAAGGCGAACCTGGAAACCGAGAATTGGCGACTGGGTTTGGAGAAAAAACCATCTTCTATCAAAAAAAGCGGATAGCTTTAATGCAAAGCTAGCGCCCAAGTATAGCGGGCCGTTCGAGGTTCGTCGTTTAATTTCGCCGGTAATCGTCGATCTCCGGAACAAACGCGGAAAGTGGCTACGTCATGTTCATATACAAGATTTGAAAGCGGCAAACAGTCAGCTAAGCAACAAAGAGGACAACGAAGACAACAACAATAACACCGACGAGGAGAATGATAACGACAGCTGAGCTGGATCAAAAGCTCACTTGAGTGCGAAATGTCGAACAGCGAAGAAATTTTGAAGGCGATCGAGGAGTATCTCGGGGAACCCTCCGCCAGCACCGAGGCCCAACCTGCACCACCGGCTCCACCACCTGAGCCGCAGCAACCACCGCAGTCACGGCCGCCAAGGGTCGGAACGCTGGTGCAACGTTCCGCGAGAACACCAGAAATCGGGAGATTTTTCTGGCCCAACCGCCGCCACCACCATCCAGGCGCCCGACTAGGCCTTATGAGAGGCCATCACTGCCATCAGCGAGGTCAACGCCGCAGCCGCAGCCGGAGATATTAAAGCCGATGGGACCCATCCCAGCACTGCCCATCCGAGTCGAGGTCGAGCCCGGCCTCGTGTTCGAAGTACCACACTTTGCAGTCCACGTCAGCCGCCCGTACAAGCCCAGGACACCGCAGGGCCGCTGGATTTTACGGTTCAGCAGGGATGAGAAACTGCGTTACCGTCGTAAAATCGAGTAAGCGAGCGATTTTTTTGTAAAACTCGTTTATTCCGTCCGTCCGTGGACAAGACGCTGAACACCGAGCGTGAAGTGCGTGAGTGCCTCGAGTTCAGGCACATTCGACGAGGGGGGTAATGGGGAGGGAAACGATGCACCCCAGCGCACGTTACTAGTCTTTCCGGCCGAACACCAGCCGGAAACTGCCGCCCGGAAAAACATCCGCCGAGCAAAGGCAGAGGCGCACCGCGCCAAATTTTCGTTAAAAAATCCGAGCATTTCGAACGGGCAAAACCGAAACAAACCGAGAGCGCCGGGACACCCCACCAAGCGATTCCGTTACCGTTTTTAATCGCTCGGTGGGGGCACCTGTTTTGTACGCGAGACTAATTAACCGGGGTATAAAAAGGGTCCTCGAATAAATCTAGAGATAGATCCCGATTCCGCTTGCTCCAAGCCAATAATCCAGATCACGATCCATTCCTAGAAACAAAGCCAGCCGAGCCCCGAACAGAAGGTAGAGCGTACTCTGCCTCAGCTGAGTTCTCTCAGTTTCGGACTTAGGGCCGCGCTTCCTAGACTCGAATTACTCTGCCTAAGGGAAACCGCGCTGGAGAGTACTCCGGCACCGTCGAGAAATCTCGACCCCGGCAATACATCCCGCCACCGTACCGCCGTTGCAAATTATCAGGAAGTAGAGAGCAAAGCTGCCTCCGACGAATGCTCTCGTTCGCACGGCGGAATCCCGTGACATTCATTCCCCGAGAGAGATTTAATAAGAATCAAAATCAAATTCACGAAAGCCGAGCGTCTCAAATATAAACCGTTATACGATTATAAAAGCCGAGATACGCGCCGCGACTTGCGAGGGCATTGCTCTCAGGCGAAACAACACAGCTGACGCGTTTTTGTTGTCTACACGACGGACTTTAAACGCATTCCAATTCCCGAACTTTACGTGATATTAACGAAACCGACCTACCGCATAATCTTTACGATACCGAATTACCGCATTACATATAAACGCTACCGATCTACCGCATCAAATAAACGATACCGAGCTACCGATTGTACACCGGATACCGTTGCCCTCGATTGATTCTTACATTTATATACACACGTTCTCGCATTTATATACACGCGTTCTTGCATTTAGGCACACACGTTCTCACATTTATACACACACGTTCTCGCATTTATATACACGCGTTCTTACATTTATACACACACATTCTCGCATCTATACACGCGCATTCCTGCATTTATTCGCCTATACTGTATTACGCTCACACTTTGTATTCTTTTCTTTTCATTATAATAATAACGAAGTTTTCTTTTTTTTTGTTTCCGCAATACCAAAGATAATTCTTTAGCTTGCCTATCCGAAATCGCGAATGCTGATCCCGACTGCGACTATCCGACATTGTTTCGTGAAAGTCGACCGTGACAAACATTATCCGAAAACTAACAAACACAACAATTGGCACTCTGAAGTACAACAATTGGCGCTGCAGCTTATTGAACCTGCAAGAAAATGGACCGAATACTTCAAGCGCTAGCAGAAACTGCGCAAAACCAGGAGCTGACATTACGTCAGATCGGTGAGTCACAAAAGCAAATGGCGGAGATACTATGACATAAAATATCGAGAACGGACGATACTGCAAGATCGTCACAATTCGCAAATTTGGCTACACGGCTCGGTAAATTCGTTCATGATCCTACGAGGGGTAAAACCTTCACATTATGGTTTCAATGACATAAAAACACTTTCGCAGAAGGAACGAAGAGTTTAACCGATACGGAGTGCAAAGAGCTACTTCTTAATGCTCTCGGGGGATATAATACGACGAGTATTAACAATTACTTAGTCGTTTATCGTCGAAGAAACCGCAGGAGATGTCTCTTGTAGATCTCGCGCAACATCTTCGAAAACAGTTTCATGATAAAACGTTATTTCAACGTCGTTTTGAAGCTCTCAATTTTCGTGCTTCCCCGCCAGCTACGGTAATAGAAATACTTAACAAAATAAATGTTCTGGAAGATGCCTTTGAGCTCGATAATTTCAATGCCGACTCAAAATTCTGCTAACGGCTCTCGCCTTAAGCGATCACACCTACTACACGGAGCAAACAGTCCTCTTCAAGATTGCATCAGAAAAAGAAAACTGTACATTTCAAGACATTAGAGAAATCTGCTACGCACATGCGAACCGCACGGTTGACGTCATGCGCGTTGAAGGACAACGCTTCTCCGAAATCAACGCGGTCAGCCAGTCAACGAATAATTCATCTAAAAAGAAAGGTAAATATTACGAAAAGAAAACAAGTCCTACTACACTGCATTACAAAAAAAAGACAAATTCTACTACATTATCGCCATGCTATGGCTGCGATTCCACGAAACACAGACGGGATGCATGTCCGTTTAAGAACGCAGAATGCAGAAAATGCAGAATCTGCAAGAAAACGGGACACATTGCTAGAATTTGCTTATCGAAGCAACGAAATAAAATAAATACTGTCACATTACAAGGTATTCTAGGCACAAGATATCAGTATCGCAAATTCGTGCATATTACTATCAACAAAAAGCCATTGAAAATGCAGCTGGATACAGGAGGGGACGTAACTACGATCGGGAGAGAAATTTGGACACGAATTGGTCATCCAAAACTCCAACCTCTTACTACTTCATGTATGAATGTTTCAGGACATCCAATGCATACCATAGGATTTTTTAACGCCTTATTTGGCTACAAAGATTGTATGATAAAAGCACCAGTCATCGTACTTGATCGTCCAGAAACTGCACTAATTAGCTCTCAGGCAATAGATGAGCTTGGCTTAATTGCCTCCGACGACAGGAGTCGTCGGAAATCTGTAAATGATGAATACGATTACGATAAATTCATTTCATAAACAATTCATAGAATTTTTTATCTGCGGCTTAAACCAGATGCGAAACCGAAACATATTCCACGACGTCCAATCGCACTCGCATTAGAAGAACCAGTCAATGAAAAACTGGATAGACTCGTTAAAAATGGAATTTTAACGCCAGTCGACTTTTCGGAATGGGCTGCGCCCATAGTAGTTGCACGCAAAGCAAATGGGAAAATATGTATTTGTGCAGACTACTCTACAGGATTAAATGACGCACTGGACGCGGAGGATTATCCAATCCCAGGTATAGAGGAACTTATGGCAAAACTTCGAGGAAGTTCTATCTTCTCACAACTAGATTTATCTGATGCTTATTTCCATCTAAGACTGGATGAGGAAAGTAAGAAGCTAACAACAATAAATACTTATCGAGGTTTATTTGCTTACAATCGGTTGGTTTTTGGATTAAAACCAGCTCCTGCAATTATCCAACGTACGCTGGAACAGGCACTTACAGATATTCCAGGCGTACTCGTCTATCTTGATAATATTCTGATTTATGGCCAAGAACGCACAGAGCATGCGTTTATACACCGTGCTAAACCGCTTGCAAGAATGGGGTTTTTGACTTCAAAAGGAAAAAAATAAATTTCATACTTTAATAGTTAAATACCTTGGATTTATTGTTTCAGCTAAAGGTATTGAGCCTGACCCAGCACGTCTTCGACCTATTCAAACAATGCGAACTCCGACGAATGCAAAAGAGATACGCTCGTTTTTAGGTCTGATAAATTACTACGGGATTTGTGCCAAATTTGCATCGACTCAAAGCACCATTCGAAGCCGGACCACTTCTACTAGCACATTATGATCCCAGACAAACTCTGATTGTTGCAGCAGACGCTAGTTCGATCGAAATTGGTGGCGTCCTGGGAGGAATGTTGGGTACAGCACGTCCCAGATGGCTAGGTAAAAGCAGTCTTTCGCATGTCAAAAGCATTGACAAAGACAACAGAATTACAGCCAAATCGAAAAAGAAGCTTTAGCATTAGTCACTGCTTTTTAAAAATTCGTATGTGGCCGTCACTTCGTGTTACAAATGAATCGTCCACTTTTAGCCCTGTTTAAAACGTCGAATACAAAAGGTCTAGATACACGCACAGTACATTGTTTGAAACGATGGGCTCTTCGACTAATTGGGTACGACTTTGACACAGAATATGTCAACTCCGAAAAATTTGGTCAAGCGGACGCTTTTTCAAGATTAATACAGGATGTAAAACAAGACGTAATAGACGCCGACCTCGAAGAAGTTGTAGCTGCGCTACAGGAAACAAATACAGAGCTACAACAGATCGTCAACAAATTAGTACAGTTCTTATCTTCAACGGCTGGACAAGAGCCAAAATGCAACATTCAGCGATGGAATTTTCCCTGAGGTTATAGATCGTCTACAAAACGGATGGTTCAAATCGGACATAACTGACAAGGAGTTAATGCCATATTATCGTCGTCGCGATTACTTAGCCATAGTTGATAATACATTAGTATTATCTACTAGATGAGAAACTAATAATTCCTAAACGTCTACAATCTACTGTACTGAAGTAACTACACATTGCACATCCAGGTATCCGCCGGATGATACAGCTTGCTCGACGTTATTTCTATTGGCCGGCGATGCATGATGACATCGAGAGATACGTAAAAGAATGTAATCATTGCGATCGCACAGCAAGCAACCTAGTAAAAGAATCATTACATCTAATCCAGGGAAATCATTCAAAGAATCATTACATCTAAATCCAGGGAAATCATGGTCACGCCTTCACATTGATTTCGCAGGCCCGATACATGGACAACGGGTACTTGTCATTGTCGACAGCTACTCCAAATTCGTGGAAGCAGGATGGTTCTCAACAATAACATCGGCAGCAACATGTCGATATCTGCGAAGACTCTTTAGTCGATATGGACCTCCTGAAGTACTAGTTTCAGATAACGGTATTCAATTCACTTCAGTGGAATTCGCGCAACTCTGCGCTGAATTTCGAATTCTTCACCTGCGTACCCCTCCTGGGCATTCACAATCAAATGGTCAAGCCGAGAGAATGGTCAGAACATTGAAAAGTTCTATCGACACAAGTCAAAGTTCACAGTTAGAAACGGAATTAAACAAGTTTGTTTACGCATACAACTACACACCCAGTGATGCGGTACCAGATCTTAAGTCTCCGGCAGAAATATTCTTTGGACGTAAGCTTAGAACTCCATTAGATATTTTTACTGCAACCGAAAAACCTAATCTAAGTCTTACTTCTCGGCAGAAGCAAATAAAACAGCAATTCGACACTCATCACGGCGAAAGGCCAAGTTCATTTGTTATAGGTCAATCGGTACTAATTCAACTCTCCAATGGATATTGTATTCCTGAAAAAATTGTTAGGCTGATAGGGAAAGCACTCGCTCGCGTCAGCTTTGTGTGTGTGTGTGTGTGTGTGTGTGTGTGTGTGTGTGTGTGTGTGTGTGTGTGTGTGTGTGTGTGTGTGTGTGTGTGAAGGAGGATTCATTACTAGACATTTCAATCAAATATGGAATCGTCCAAAGAGACAGGAAAAGAAATCCAATACGATTAGCGAAGATCTACTACCCTCCGGAAAAGAATCAGCACGGACTGAACCAGATCCAGTATTTCACACTTCGCTAGGAGAAAGAGAGGAGGCAGAACCTCTCAACAACGGGACCACACAACCTCTAGTAGCAGTGGCTCGTCGTTCTGAACGTCTTTCGCATCGACTTTGACCGGATTACAAGGCATTGGGAGGAACTCGCCCCTACCGAGGACAGTATTCTTAAGCAAGGGAGGAATGTTGGGTACTGCGCCATCTGATAGGCGCTAAGCATTACGCTACTGTTTGGGAGAATATTCAGAGCCTCTTAGTAATTGCTCCGAGTCAATCTTTGCACGCTCTTTATCTCTCCTTCATTCGGTGAGCGTGACTTCATGCATGACCGCATCGACTGCATCACCCAGATCGGAATGCAACTCGGAACAATAGAATCATAAATGAGAATACGATCTGCGCAACCAAGAACAATTGCTCGCACGACAACGCGCAAGTACGACGTGACACGATGATGCACATAGCACGATCGTGCATACGGCATCACAGTAAGAAGAAGTCTTAAAAGGCCGACCGAGAGACGGATCGTCGGAGAAGCATAGGTGTGGCCGCCGTGTACGGAGCACAACGACATGCTCGAATTTTCTACTACTACTTCGGACTGTTCGTGAAATCAAGACATAATATTAAGACACAACGATGTTAAACATTATCCGAAAACAAACACAACAATTTGCATTTCGTATCACAACAATAATCAATTATAAGTCTTATAAATAATATGTTAGTCAATGAATCAATATATTCTATGAGCAACAAATAAAATTTTTTTTTCTTTTATTTTCTTTTCTGTAATTGAAATATTGTTTATATATATACATATATATATATATAATTTTTCAGGAAATGCGAAAGCTGGTATATAAGCTCTTGATTGATCATAGTCATATTTGTGTTAATTTGAAGTGTCAAATATTTACAAATGGAGAAAAATATACATGGCGAATTTTTTATTACGCTGCTTAAACAATAATATTGAAAATATGGATTACATATGTATTATACGCTTATATTACACGTGCAATAAAGATAAGGTATTTTATATAACATATTGTATAGTGATATTATATAGAACATACATACAGATAATGTATAATGTATAACATATTGTATATGAGATAATGTAATATACAGGATCCGACCGAATAATATACAAGCGGGCAGAGAGGGTGATTCCTTATGAAAAAATTAAAACAAACTAGAAGAACAAGTAAGCCAGGAGAACAAAATTCTTTCATCTGAAGCTTTATGTTTTCGTTAAATTTGAGTTAAATATCTCTCTTAAAGTCAATCAGTGAAAATAACGCTGATTGAATCAGTAAAACAGTATGTCACCGACAATCAGTGAGTATTTACTGACATTTAGTAAACATATTCCCACCTTAGTTCTCAGACTTACAATTTACTGATTTTAGGCAGTGGAAGTAAGATTTCACTGCAAATCAGTAAACCGCGAGCCAATAAAAGCTCAGCAGTTTGTTGCGCGATATTTTCTCAGTTCTTTTGTTTACGGCGTTCGCGGTAACGTGTGTCGTGCCGGGTGCCAATCGTGCATCGTTCGTCGTAACTAACACAAGTTACAACACGTTAGCTACTATCCGTTCGCAATGATTGACGGTAAGTTCAACGCTTTTATGTGGCATTTTATTCTATTATTATAATTATTACATTTTTTTATATTAATTATATGTATTTCGTTATCATAACCATTCTTGTAGTGTTTTATGTAATACGTAGTTACTGACACGTGAACTTTTTTTCTTTCTATCTTTAATATTTATTTCTCAATTGTAGACTGAAATGGAAAAAATAACAAATTTATCCATTGAAGATTTAGGAATAAAAATCGAGGAAATAACAGATGAGGAGACACGATAAAAGTTTGAAGGTTAGTATATTTGTATTTTTTTTTACGTTTTTTAAACAAACATATTTAAAAATATAAAGCATCAAATAGCAAAATTGTACATTTTAGTATATATTTATTGTTACATCTCGGAATGCCATCTCAGACTTTATTCCTTTTGCAAATTATCTATACGACTGTCACATTCCAAAAATATATATTTATATTTAAAAATTGATTAAATGTCATCTCTCTTTTTTTATATATTTATCATTTCTATTTTGCAAAGTACATTTCTTGATAATAATTATAAAATAATCATTTTTAAATAATGTTTATTAATATTACAGATGCGTAAAAATTTCATTAAAATATATCAGCAATGGAGCCTTTGAAATGTTTTATGTGTCGTAATACTGTAAAAGGAGGGTTAAATGGTTTGGCAAGACATTTTACAATAGTACATGGTTTGACACTCAAACGCGGAATAGACAAAATTGGGTTTCAATGTGGTCAAAAAGATTGTTATCGAAAATTTCTTCATTTTTACTCTTTAAGAGATCATATAAGAAAAATTTATTTTTCTCGAAAAGAAAATTATGACTTTTCTGTAGAAAATACAGAATCCACTTCTTCGTATAATGATATAATTATTAATGAAAATGATGCAAACAAAATATCTGAAAATTCAAATAATGTAGAGGTTTTAAAAATTTGTGACAATTTTAATTTAAGAGATTCTTTAATAAGTCTAATAATTAGATTACAATCAAAAGTATCAATGACCGGAAGCATTATAACTGATATTCTTGATGAATATGAACAAATAACAAATAATTTATGTGTATCATTAAAAACTAAAATTAAACAATTTTTACAATCTAAAGAAATGCTTAATGACCCTGATGTTATTAATTTGTTAAATTCTTTTGAAATAGATAAATCTTTTGAAGGTTTAAGAACACTTGAACAACAAATGGAAGTTTTAGCAAGTAGTACAGAATATATCAAGCCTCAGGAAATATCTTTGGATAAACGTATAGAAAATGTAATTGATAAGAAAACAGGCACTTCTGTATCAAAAACAATTCTTGAAACTTGTCAATATGTTTCTATAATAGATTCTTTAACAATGGTGCTTAGAAATAAAGACATACACGCTGTAATAGAAGCAGAGAAAGAATCAAATGATGGCATTCTTGCATCTTTTATTGATGGGCAGCACTTTAAAAATCATCCTTTTTTTCAGAAGTACAAACATTAGAATCCAACTTTATTATGATGAACTGGAAATTGTCAATCCACTTGGCTCTAAGACTGGCATTCACAAATTAGGAGTCTTTTATTATATAATACAGAATCTTCTACCTCACATGAATTCTGAAACAAGCAGTATTCACGTTTTGCTTCTTTGTTGTCATGTTGACATAAAAAAATATAAAATGAAAAAAATATTAAGTCCTTTCTTAGAAGATCTTGTAAAATGAGAAAGTGATGAAGGAGTTGTTATACTTTTAGAAGGACAAGAATATATTTTGCGTGCATCATTGACTGCATTTTGTGGGGATGGATTAGCTGTCCATGAAGTATTTAATTTGCTAGGTCCATCTTCTAATTTCTTTTGTCGAATGTGTCTTTATACTAGGCAAGATTTGCATAATGGTAGCATAGAAATTAAACAATCAAGAAATATGGCAGTTTACAATGAACACTTAAATTTACTGCATAATGCAAACTATAGCGATAATGCTAAAACGTTAACAGGAATGCATGGAGAGTGTTGCTTACATTTATCTCGTTTCTTTCATATATGTAAAAACCTTATTTTTGATCCAATGCATGATATTCTTTGTGGTATTGGGCCAATGATACTAAAGTTAGTTTTACTTCGTTATACTTTGGAATTGAAATTGTTTCATATAGATGATTTTAACAACAGAATAGCATCATTTCAATATGGTTTTGTTGAAAGAAAGAATAAGCCTTCAGCAAATTTCAATGAAAGAATATTGCGTGTAAAAGGGCATACTTTAAATCAAAAAGCTATGCAAATATGGTGTCTTCTTCGCGTTTTCCCTTTCTTAATTTCTGAGTGGGTCTTGACAGGAGAAGAACACCTACAACTGATTCTCCTTTTGCTAAGAATTATGGAAATCGTGTTTGCGCCAAAAGTTACAGTTTCTCTTATGTCTTATTTGAGAGCCCTCATCACAGATTTTTTGGAAACATTCAAACAACTTTTCCCTGATGTACATATGATAAATAAATTCCATCATTTAACTCATTACCCAGATTGTATGTTGTGGTCAGGACCTCTTCAATTGTACAACTGTATGCGTTATGAAGCCAAACATAATGAAATCAAACTAAGAGCACAAAATGTTCATAATTTTAAAAATCCACCGAAAACATTAATAAGAATTGTTCAATGCTCTCAAAGTGCTAGATGGGGAAAAGGAAATGCCACAATTATTCGAGTTGAACCATTAAATGGAGAAACAGTTACAGTGCAAAATTGCCAAAGTCGTACATATTTACATGATCTAGGATATGTTGATACTGATTCTATATTTACCACTAATGCTATAAAAATAAATGGTGTAGAATTTCGACTTAATTTATTAGTATGTCTTAAAATTGATAAACAAAACGGAAAAAATTTGCCTCTTTTTGGATGTATTAAAGAAATTTTAATGTTGAATAAAAATGAAGTATACTTTTTGACCACATTATATAAAACTCATTTATTTGATACTGATTTTAATGCCTACCATGTCGATTGGGAAATTCATAACATTTTACAGCTTTTTGTGAATTGTCTTAGTCTTGCATATTACAAACCATTGTCTATCTGGTCAGAACCAACATCCAATAATTTTTATGTTAGTCTCCGTCACATTTTATTGTGATGGAAATGGAGTTTTTTGCATCATTTTAGCAAAAAATGTAAGATTTATTTTATTAGTCTTTAAATATACTTTCAAATCATGATTTCAATTTTCATATTTTATTATGTATCACATTGAATTTTATATTAAGTAACTTGTAATTTTTCAATACATTTTTTAATAGAGAGTCTTAAATTATTTTTTGTACAACTCGATATTGATCTTTATGTTATGCATTTCTTCTATTGTGATTTTTCGATATTTTGTGCTAGGAAAATATGAACGATAATTCTTAATATTTTACTATTACTATTACAGCTGTTGTTTTTACGAATACATTACAATTTTTATTTATCTTTAGATGAAAAAATCGAAGGCTCCTCTTTCTTTTTACTCAATGCACAGGACTTAAATGATATGGAAATAAAGAAAGGACCAGCAAAAAAAATTTTTAAATTTCTTGAGGAATGTTCTCAAACTTCTTCTGGGGTAATGTTTTACTTACTAATAAAGTAATGTTTTATATAATTTTTCCGACATTATTTTTCTTTTTTTCTTTTTAGGTTGCTAAACGTGTAGAGCAACTATTAGATACAAAAGAACAAATAGAAATTGTTGGAGAAACAAGAGAAATTATTTTAGCTGCAAATATTAATTCTCCAAATTGGACAACAATTGCTGAAGCTGAAATACCATCTACCAGCAACAACACTGCTTTAGTTACAACTGCGACTTCTAATGAAGAAATATCTATACCCAAAGAATCTTTTTCGGTATATTTTTTTTGTATCAGATAACTAAATTAGCGTTTATATTCAAAATATTTTAAAAAAATTATAAATTTTATATAATGTAGCGTTTTACAACTGTTCGTAAGACGCTTTTACATCATCCACAAGGTGCTAACGTTTTGACAGCTGCAGAAGACATATTTACAGAATGTCATAGACGAAGTCTTATAAGAATAGTAACTTCTGAATTAGTAACGACACACAAATATAACTAGTAAGTTTTGTATCTATGAAATTAACTTGTATTCAATTAAGTTTATATTTCTATGAAATTTTGTAAAATTGTCTTGCAGCTATCCACCTGAAGAAGCCAAAATAGCTCTTGCCAAAAGTATTGTAACAGAATTTCCAAAATTACGTGACCGCGAAACAACTAAAGGATATGTAAGAAAAAATTCACAAATTATTTTTTATTTTTTTAAAACTATTTAATATATTTTTCTGTATAACTATTATATAAAATGAATTATTTATCTTCTTTTTTTACAATTTTAAGGAACTTTACTATGATCCATCTACTAAAAGAGGTTTTATTGAATATCGTCTTTGGACAATTAGAAAAAATATTTCACCTGCCAAGAAAAAATATACTGCAAAAAAAAGAAAAATGAATATATGTCAACCTTTATTTTCTGCAGAAAGTTCAGATGAGAAAAAAGATGATTTGCTTTCTCAAGATTTGTATGAAGAAAAAGTGCGTTATGATACTTCTTTGTATACTAATAATTTTTTTTAAATTACACAAATAATTTATTTTAATGATAAATATGACATATAGAAAAAAATTATCTTTTCTTCTTTTAATTTTCTACATTTTTATTTGATATATCAGATTTCATGGATGAAATTAAAGATACCGTCTGAAACGAATAAATTTTCAATATCAAAATGTATGAACATTACTATGAAAAATCGAAGAAAATGGATTTTAGAAAATCTTCCTACAATAGATGAAATATTTGATCAATTTCCTCAATTAGCTGATTATTCTGGTCAAATGGTGAGTAATAATGCTTCATATTTGTATTAAACAGAAACACATATTTTATTTTACTTTTTTTATATTTTTAACATTCAGAATTTATGTATTTATAATAAGTATATTTCATTTCACTTTATTTTTATGTTTTTGATTATAGATTGATGAGGAATTCGACAGATTGTACAGCGGAGCTTCTGATAACTTTTTAACAAGATTTTCTCCATATTATGTTCCTAGAATTCTTACATACTGCAAGACAGTGAGACAAGATTTATATAGAGTTTCAAATTTTATTGAAGAAGGTATAGTTTAACTCTTACTTCAGTTTTTTAAAATATTTTACATTATTTACATGTATATTAAAATACTAATCGCAATTATTTTATTTTATTTTATAGAAAATCTTCGTGCCATATTACTTCTAGCGCATTTACTCCCTGTATCTAATTCATTGAGAAAGGGGAAAGGAAAAAAGAAGGGTGTAATTTCAAAGAAAGTAAATATTTTGTATTTGAATATATTATATAATTTATATTATAATTCATTTATCAATATACATAATTATTGGAAAAGTGTGGCTTTATTTTTAAATTTAATTGAATAGAATTTAATTTCAAATTATTGAAATCACTTAGAGTGCTAATAAAGAAAATATGAGGAAAGAAGATTACGAGAATGTATATTCTACTACATTTCCTAATTCTTCTTTAATACAAATTTGGCCTGTAAGTTTTTGTAAATATTCATTTTCATACTTTTTTATAATCTCTTATATGTAATACAAAATATAATTATTCTTTTTCATAGGACGGATGTAACATAGAGACCAAAATTCAGAAAGTAAGAAAGAAGGCACAAGGTTCAATTCAGCCTTATATTATATTAATTAAAGGACAATTAACTTATTTTGTTCAGACTGATAATGTTACATTGACTCCAAGTATCAACTCGCCAATCATAGCACTTGATTTATTATTTAAGGTATATTACGTTTTAAATGTTACATATCCTACAACACTACTAAACTTTTTTAGTTTCTTAGAGCATTATTGTTTTAAAATTTCATCTGAAAAAGCACATGCTTTTGTATCCTCTACTCATATTAATATTTGTAATACCACACCAATATCAAATGTGATTAGATAACACATCAAATATATAAATTTATTCAGCAGTTTAATTTTATTTCATGAAATAAATATTTATGATAGTTGTTTGCAAAATAAATTTATGGAAAAAATTATTTTATCATTACAATTTATGTTGTTTCTCTTAATAATTATTTTTGTTTAAAATGATAGACATAGTTTGCATTTTATATAATTTAATGCATCAATTTTTCATTTATTTGGTATACTAGTATCATTTATATATAACATTCATATAGTATATAACATTCATTTATTTAGTATAAGTAGGATATATAGGAGAGTTCTAACCCAGGTCCTCTCAGGGGGGGTGAGGTGCGCGGGGGAATGACGTCACGCGGGATGGAGGGATTTCGGCGGCGGCGCGTGTTAGATGTTTTATGGTAATATTATATTACATGCTCAGCTGATAAACAGTATTGCGTACGGACATGTTCGGTTTATAAATAATATAAACATCAGCATTTTTGAATTGAGATTATGATCGTATAATAGAGATGTGACATTATCGCCATATCGTCGTAAACGCCTCGTAAAAAGTACGCGCGGTCCCATATATTTATCGAAAGTATAAACAATATTGTGTCGCATGCCCGGTTGATAAATAATATAAACAAATAGTACCTCAGAATCGTCTTTCACGATTTTTTCTCGGAAGAATTTTTAACGTATCAGCGCCGATGTTTGGCTGCTTTGTACCCTTGCTTCCACCGCTCGTATATCAGCGCTTTCGCGGTACACCCCTCACCTCTGATATAAGTAATTTTAGATTTTTTTCGTTCGACGTATCCTTATCTCTCTCATTGAATTACACAGCACATAAATTTATAAACAATATAAACAAACGGCACTTCCTAGAATCATCTTTTACGATTTTTTTATCGGAAGAATTTTTAACGTATCAGCGCCGATATTTGGCTGCTTTGTTTTCTCTTTCATATAAGAAGGATTGAAGCGCATCAAATCATCATAGTATGTGATTTGAACGCCCATCGACGCGTCGGCAGTAAAAAAAAAAAAATATAGCGGTGTTCCGTTAGAAAGATTTTTGCGTCTATTTCACGTTCAAGATAGCGAACGGTATTGTTTATCGCGTGCAAAAGTCATCCGTAGAAAACTGTGACATAGTGTTTTAAAAGTGTGAGTGCGAAAAAGATAAGAAAATGGAAAACATCGAGCCGACCGAACGCGATCTGGTGGAGGGATCTCGCCGAATTGCCACCTTGGGCGAATATTTCGCGTGGCTGCAGCGTTGCGAGGAATTGATCAAAGAGCTCGAAGAACGCAGTCGTGTCAAGCGTCCGCGGCTCTCGAGCGGAAATAGACAATCTCTGGTGATTAAAATCGCGCGACTAGAAAGTGCGAAGACTCGATTGCAAAGACGGTTTATTCCCAGTGGTGGTGATTACAGCGGTGATTACAGCGGTGACAATAACGCAGAAAGACTCGTTTGGCGAGAGATCGATACCGCGTTCGACAGCCGTATTCTGACCGGTGCCGTGATTAACGCAAACTATATCGAACCTCGTCAATTTCTCGAGGATGCCGAAGACATTGTGCTCGAGCAAGTGCAAGACGTTCTAAAAAGACACAACAGTGTAAAAGTAAATACTATATTCAACGGTGAATTTGTGTCGGGTGATAAGCGCGCGAATAAAAGTATAAATACGAGAAACTGTGAACTCTTTCGCACATCGGATTTACGCGAGTGGTTCGGGCGCCGCGTTATCGAGCCCACTTTAACGTCTCTGGAAGAGTTTCAGGAACGCGATAGTGGCTGGGCATTGTCGCGAATACAGAATTTGACTGTTAATGTAAATAAATATAATCCAATGCGCGCGGGATGCCACATTAAATTGTCGCGGGAGATTATGATGAAAAGAGCGGTGGTTAACGTACAGTCTAAAGACAATGCGTGTTTCGCGTGGGCAGTGGTCGCCGCTCTATATCCCGCAGAAAGAAAGGTGGAACGAGAATCATCGTACCCGCATTACGCAACAGTGCTGAATCTCCTAGATATTGAGTTTCCAGTAACTTTAAATCAAATTAAAAAGTTTGAACTCGCAAACAATATCTCGATCAACGTGTACGGCACGACAAGAACACATTGTCGAAGACAAGAACAGTATCATCTCGATACGTCTTTCGGAGCAGAAGCGAGATAAGCACGTGAATCTGCTATACGTGGAAGACGGCAATAGCGTCGGACATTTCGCGTGGATAAAAAATTTATCCAGGCTCGTAAGCTCGCAACTGAGCAAACACAACGGTCAAAGATATATCTGCGACCGGTATGTATATATTAATATAAAATAATTATATCAAATAATTTATATAAAAATTGTTCTAATTTTAATTAAAAAATTTTTCTTTTACAGATGCCTGCATTATTTTAGTTCAGATGACAAGTTGCAGTTACATGCCATCGACTGCGGGGAGATGAATGACTGCGCTATCCGGTTGCCGAGCGACAAGGACAAGTGGCTCGAGTTCAACAATTACAACAGGAAAGAGCGGCTTCCATTCGTCGTGTATGCCGACCTGGAATGCGTTCTGGCTAAAACGGAGGAAGAACAACAAAAATTGTATCAACATCACCAAGTATTTAGTATAGCGTATTATATGCATTGTTCGTACGATGAATCTTTATCGGCGTATCATCGGGGCCGTAGCGTCGATTGTATAGCGTGGTTCGTCGAAGATCTTAAAAATTTAGCGATTCGCGTTAAGAATATTTTAACGACCAATGTCCCCATGGTTAATTTAACGTCCGAAGAGTGTGAAAAATTTTACAACGCCACTCAATGTCATATATGCGAAAAGCCGTTCGCGCAAGACGATACACGCGTTCGCGATCATTGTCATTTGACCGGGCGGTACAGAGGCCCCGCGCATTCAAATTGCAATTTAAATTACAAAGAATCTTTTTGTATTCCGATAGTTTTCCACAATTTATCCGGTTACGATTCGCATTTTATTATCGAGGAAATAGCCACAGCATTCGAAGGGAGAGTCGAGTTACTCCCGATAACGAAAGAGAAATATATTTCTTTTACAAAAAATGTCGACTTTAAGGAAGGCGATTGGAAAAATAATGTAAAATTACGTTTCATCGATTCGTACAAATTTCTTACATCGAGTCTCGACAAATTAGCATCTTATCTAGACAGAGATAAGCTCAAAATTTTAAAATCGAAATTTGAAAATTTATCCGCGGAAAATTTCAGTTTATTAACACGGAAAGGTGTCTTTTCATACGAATACGTCGACTCGGTAGATAGGTTGCGAGATACGCGTTTACCACCGCGCGAATCGTTTTACAGTTCCTTGATCGGTGAAACTATATCCGAGAGCGATTACGCGCACGCCGAGAACATCTGGACGCGATTCTCCATTCGAACGCTGGGCGAATACAGCGACATGTATCTCAAAATCGACGTATTGTTATTAGCAGATATTTTCGAAAATTTTCGCGATAGCTGCATAAAAAGTTACGGACTCGACCCCGCGTATTACTATACTCTGCCCGGATACACGTGGGACGCCATGTTAAAGTATACAAAGATCATGTTCGAGTTGCTTACAGATATCGACATGGTCATGTTTATAGAACGCGGTATACGCGGTGGTCTGAGCCAATGTTCCAACAGATACGCGCGCGCTAATAACAAGTATATCCGACAATCGTACGATCCATCGAAACCATCGTCTTACTTGATGTATTTTGACGTTAA